TCATCATCATCATCATCCAGCCCCCATCCTGCTCTCCTTTTCCTCCTCCTCCCCCTCCCGCTCCTCCTCCCTTGCCTCCTCCTCCTCCGCCTCCTCCTCCTCCTCCTCCCCCCATCCACATCGCTCCCCCCCTTCCGCATTCCCTGCCCCCTCCCCCCTTCGCACCACAGAGGACCTTCTGAACATATATCAGGAGCCTGATTCTCTGTGGCCGAATGCAGACTGAGCCAACATAATTGTGGTAATGGCGACCGTCCATGAGCGACCTTTTACACACTGCATGGTGCATTTGCTCACCCAGTCGGGACGCCATAAAATGACACCCCCTCGGCTGATAAGCCGAATGTGGAGACGGGCGGTAGTAAAACAGCATAAAAAACGACTGGGCAACGGGAAATAATTGAAGCAATGCACGGTGCAATGAAGCCAGGACCCCATCCTAGCAAGTCACGATCGGAAACGAACGCAACTAAATACATCACTGGCGCAAGCAGAGGGCGACTTTGCTTTGGGCATACTCGTGCAGGAGCCTCCTAACATGCGGCACCTGATGTTAAGCGTCGCAAGGTACTACGCTGTGTAGAATGATTCACGCATTCTGTAACTAGGCAAACTCCTGGATCTCAACTGGTCCTGATACCAAGTGACTGTCAGAGCGGCACGTGGCAAAAACACACACACACACACACCTATTTATATGTGTATGGGTGTTTTATATGTACACACATATATATAGATATATATATGTATACGCGTGTAAAGTTATAGCGCAAGCTCCCTGGCAAATGCCAGCTCGTGTCTTCCATTTCGCCCCTGCTCACATATTTGCTTCACGCATCTGCAAGTTTCTCCTGGGTTCCTATGTTGATCACTTTGACGTCTCCTCGACGTCCCTTCCCTGGTAAACGAGACTGAACAACATCGGCGTGCCTGGTTTTTCCCAGCCCTCGCCGGCTTGCAATGACGCAGCTGATCCGCGCTTAACCATTCCGCAGTACTTCGCTTCTCAAGAAGACGGTGCCACGAATCTCTGAATCGAACTCCACGACTTTCTCACATGCGATCCCCACCTGACAGTTCCTCCACTTGTGAATTTATTGTTGTCTTACATGCGGCAATCGGTGTCAATCCACACGGCTATTCACTCCTTGGGGTGTTCTTGGTACACGTACTGATACCCACGCCTGTCGCGTTTCTGCAGGTACTCGCCCAAATTTGTCCGGTCTTTCCAGGCCCATCGGGGTGGGCCTGACATAGAGCGCGCAAGTTCCTTGACGAAGAATCGCATATCTGAACAATCCTCAACAAGATAATTGACCCTGGCCACCACGAGCTTGATATTTCTGAACCTCATGGCTTGGCACCTTATCTCTGCGCACCTCTTAATCTACCTCATGCCAGAACCTGTCCAGGCGCAATTCTACAAGTCGGCTGAGAACACAGATTGCCATCAAATCTTCGGGTCATGATCCGAGTCCGCCTCGGATGTCAAAGTCGATGCCCCCATCGTTTTCTCATACGGGCCAGTCAAGGCCAACGTCGTTACCCAACGAAGCGAAATCATCCCGATGCCCCGTTCGCCAGATTCGCCATGCCTCTCGTTCAATTAAACGCAAATGGCGATGCCTTTCCGTTTTCAACACCAACGTCGCATGCGAAGTCCATGCAGCAGTCTTCACAATTGCTTGCAGCGCCCCTGGCGCCGTGCATTGACTTGAACTATCTTCCACGCATGCCTGGTTCCCAATCTTCTTCGGGTAGCCCCATGACGGCTTGAAAATGGCTCCGATAGACTCCCAAATTGAAACATCTGCATCCGCAAAAGGGCTGAAGATAACATGGTCGCCGCCGCCGCCATCACCAGGTCGTCATACCCAATGTTTCTCGCCCTTTTCCTTCACACGTTCCCCCCCCCTCCTCCTGCCCCTAATCCTATTCCTCCTCCTCCTCCTCCTCCTCCTGATCCACCCCATTCTTTCCCTTCCCACCTGAGGTTCACCAGAGGTTGAATGGGAAGGTGTTGCATCAAACTAATATTATGTCTGCTCGCCCTCCTCCCCCTCCTCCTCCTCTTCCTCCTCCCTCCGCCTGTTCCTCCCCCTGCCCCGTCTCATCATCCTTCTCCTCCTCCCCCCCTTCATTCAACAGGGCCACGACGGAACCATACATGGTCCACTCCTGGGACGGCGCAAGCTGGGCTAACACTGTGGTCTTTAACGGCTGCCCCCCTCCCCTTCCCAGCTCAGCTGCATGCTCTTACACTTCCGTCATCAAGGCAACTCGCCTGGGCAATATTGCTCGATGGGCTGGTGGACATACGCGAAGCGTCAATCACTCAGATGGGAAATTCGCCTGACGAAGACCCAACCATATGCAACAGCGAGTACCGCATTGTGGGTACCGCTTTCGGTGGAACTCCTTATGGGGCCACGAACCGTGTGAGGGGCCTGCCGAATTGGGCGCGGTGGTGCCATGCGAACCCTGCCGCTAGAATCTTCGGTGGAGCATCCTCTGGGGCCACGAACCGTGTGAGGGGGTGTACCGGGTTGGGCGCGGTGGTACCATGCGAACCCTACCACTGGAGTCTTTGGCGAAACTCCCTATGGGGCCACGAAACGTGTGAAAGGTGCGCCGGATTGCACGCGGTGGTGTCATGCGAACCCTGCCGCTATGGGGCCACGAGCCGTGTGAGGGGTGCGCCGAAATGGCGATGGAACTGCATGCGAACCCTGCCAATGTAGATTTTGGTGGAACTCCTTATGGGGCCACGAACCGTCTGAAGGGTGCGTCGAAATGAGGGTGGAATTGCACGCGGGACCTGCAACTGAGGCATTCGGTGGAGCTTCATATGGGGCCACGAACCGTGTGAGGGGCGCGCCGAAATGACGGAAATGTGACGACGATGGCGATGATGACGGCCGTAACGGTGGTGACGACAGCGATTGCGATGACGGTGGCGTGTTTGATGAGGGTGTTGGTGAAGGTGCTGGTGGCGTGATGATGGTGATGTGGTGATGGTGCTGCTGAAATGATGTCGATGACGGTTTTGCTTTGTCGGCCCTGAGTGTCTGGAATACCTCTATGGAGGTCACCGCCAGACGACGACCTCCTTCAAGTTGCGCAGCATACGTTCGAGCCTTATATTACAAAAGTGGCTAAGCAAACTTCGGGAGACGCAAAGGCTTGCAAATGTGCAGGGTCAAGGTATCAAGCTTGCCTTCAAAACCGCTTGCAAGAGAACCGAATGAAGCCATCGCTGTATCAGCCGTGCACGGCTGGTGCGGAAACTGATTGATGGCATTGTCTTCTTCTCTGGTACCTGGAGGCATCCGCCCTCTCACGAAATCAAACGGACCAGCGCTCGACATAGCCCGAATAGGAAAAGCGGGGGCATGCACGTCATCAGGGAGCTCAGAACCATCACCATCATCCTCGCTGCCCTCGCCACGCGCCATCTTGCGCAGCGGAGGCGCCGTCAGAACATCAGAAACTCCAACGCCCTGACAAGCCGTAACAACACCACCACCTGGAAAAGCGACAAGTCGGTGATCAACACTTTCCGAAGGGGCAGGCACGGAGGACTCCATCCTCACGAGGGCGAGTACGGACCTCAACACCTGCATCACGTACGCCCGCGACCCCACGAACGCCAGCAGCTCCACGAAACTCGGCAGCACCGCGAGCTGCATCGGCCTCACGAGCGCCAGTAGCTCCACGATCCTCAGCAACACCGCGGGGATGGAGAGCAGCCCCAGCAAACTCACGAATACAAGCGGTAACATCAAGAAGACCAGCAGGATCACGGAGAGCAGCGCGGCCATCTTGAGCACTGCAAGCAACAGTGAAGCCACCCAACTCCGCAGGGCCAGGAAGGCCAGCGGCACCTCGGACGCCTTCACGAAGAATGCGAGCGTCAGCAGCCCCCCGAGCGTCGACGGCACTACGAGCCTCCACGGCTCCACGAACGCCAAAGGCTCCACGATCGTCATCAGCACCGCGGGGAAGGAGAGCAGCCTCAGCACCTTCATGAAGACGAGCAGCCTCATCGAGAAGACCATCGCTATCTCGGAGAGCAGCGCGGTCACCTGGAGAACCGTCAGCAACAGGAAGGGCGCAAACCGCGACAAGGCCACGAAAATCAGCAGCATCTCGTAAGTCTTCACGAAAAACGCGAGCACCACCCGTTCCACAAACGTCAGCAGCTCCACGAGCCCCCAAGGCTCCACCAACGTCAGACGCTTCACGATCGTCAGCAGCACCACGGGGGGGAGAGCAGCCCCCACACCTCCACGAAGACGAGCGGCTGCGCCATGAAGAACAGGCAAATCCCGGAGAGCAGCGCAGACAACTTGAGCACCTCCAGCGGCAGGAAAGCCACCAAGCAGCCAAGAAGATCAGCAGCACCTCGAAAGTCTTCGCGAGGAAATCCGCCTTCAGGATCGCCATCACCGCCAGAAGGCTATGACCCCCAGGATCTCCAACAACAGGTAGAAACGGACGAACTTCAGCAGCCACAACAACTTCAAGAATATGAGCGCCTTCATCAGGAACAGCACGGGCACCTCCAGAAACAAGAACTGCACCATCTCCTTCGGAAACAAGAGGGCCACGTAGTTCCACTCCACAAAACCCGGGATGATGACGCAGCAAGGGAGTATGGACAACCGGCATCACCTTGAGGAATACTCTGAACAGATATCGAACTATGCGATTTGTCAGTCGAAGAACAATGGCCGTGATCAACCACCACTGCACCTTGACGAGACCCCAGAACTGAAGAAACCAGCACAATGGCGAAGGAGTTGAGCATCAGGGTGCCGAAGACAGGCAGCAACACCACTTCGAATAGCATTTCGTCGCAATGCGAGTTCGCGCGAAGCATGCACTGCCTGCCAAGGGCCAGCTGCTCAGAGAGCCAGCGAAGCCGAGCGGCGCACACCATCAGCGCCAGGAGAACGGGCCGCGGGCGAGCGAAAGGGGGGGAGGCGAGGGGGCCGCAGGCGCGGCCCAGTGGCCCCTGAGACCAGCAAGTGCTATACCCACAATGGCTAGAAGGTGTCGATGAGGATGATGATAATGATGCTGATGATGCTGATGTTGCTGATGATGGTGCGGGAGGAGTTGGAGGAGGAGAGGAGAGGAGAGGAGAGGAGAGGAGAGGAGAGGAGAGGCGAGAAGAGGAGAGGACAGGAGACGCGGGGCGCTGTTTCTTTAAAGCGAGGACCCAACACCACAGGATGGTTGGGAAATGACCTGTTCTGTGCTCGCGTGTAAGATCCCCCCCCGGGTTCGAAATCTGGGAGGGGGGAAAATGCCCACCCCACCCCCGGGTTCGAACCCGGGGTGGGATGGGAAAACCGCATGCTAGACGAATCCCAACTGACTGGCACCAAACATACAACCGGCCTGGCCACTCTTCAATCAGCCAAAAAACAAACTGGCACCAATTACAGTGGGCGCCCGGCCGCAAGAAACCGTCGCAAGAAACCCAACCCTGAAAATCCACGAAGTTTCTGGCCCAGGGTCTGGGTTTCTTGGCCAGGGGCTCGACTCGGAGAAACCCAGGGAACCCTGGCCCGAGGAGTTTCTGCGCGGGTCGCGCTGGGAACATGCGCGAGTAGTAATTTCGTTGTTGGCCCTCCGAATACACACAGATGCAAGAAAGTCGTCAAGGTACCCTCGGCGCAGTGAGCAAGTTCTAGCAATTTCGCGATTTGCCCTCCGACTCCGCGCGGATGCAAGAAATTCAAGGTACCTTCGGCGCAGCGGGGTTTCTTCGGTGGCGGGGCTCTTTAGCAATTTCGCGATTGGCCTTCCGACTCAGCGCGGATGCAAGAAATTCAAGGTACCTTCGGCGCAGCGGGGTTTCTTCGGTGGCGGGGCTCTTTAGCAATTTCGCTGTTGGCCCTCCGATTCCAAGCGGACGCAAGACATTCAAGGTACACTCGGCGCAACAAGGTTTCTTCGGTGGCGGGGCGTTGTTTTCGCGAGGTGGAATTGGGAGGAAGCCCAGGGTCTCCTGGACGCGAGAGTTTCTTGACGCCCGCGGGAAACCATCGCGGGCCGCACGGAACGAAGAAACCCAAGATGCCCTGACGTAGAACATCTGGTTTCTTGGTACGCGCCCCCGCTGTACAACAAGCCATCTTGAACCGACAACAGGATTAAGTGTACAGAAAATTTTAAAACGATGCAGAACTCAAATGCACGTAAAATAAATCCACTTCTGGGAGGCAACATGAGTGTCACGTTCAAAGCTGGTACTAGTTTACTTTCTGAAACCTGGAAACTTCGATGTATGGAAACTAGCCACTGGTCGCCAAGTTTAGTGGAGCGTCGTGCTCGGCGTCATCGTCGTCGTCGTCGTCGTCGTCGGCCTAGGCATAGGCGTCGTGCTCGTAGACATCGTCGTCGCCTGCGTCGGCGTCGTGCTCGACGTAGGTCGTCGTCGGCGTCGTCGTCGTCGGCCGAGTTGGCGTCGACGTCGTCCTCGTCATCGACGTCGGCGTCGGCGTCGGTCTCGGCGTCAACATGAGCGCCAATCTCTTCGTCGGCGTCGGCGTCGGCGTCGGCACCAGCGTCGGCGTCGTTGTCGCCTTCGGCGCCGCCGGCGTTCTGCACTGAGTCGTGCTTGGCGTCGTGCTCGGCGTTGGTCTTGGCGTCGGCGTCGGCGTCGTCGTCGGCGTCGTCGTCGTCGGCGCCGTCGTCGTCGCGACGTCGGCGTCGGCGTCGTGCTCGGAATCGTGCCCGGCGTCGTGCTCGGCGTCGTGCTCGTCGTCGGCGTCGTCGTCGTTGTCAAAGGAGTCGGCGTCGGCGCCGTCGTCATCGACGTCGGCGCTGGTCTCGGCGTCAGCATCGGCGTCAACCTCTTCGTCGGCGTCGGCGTCGGCTTCGGCACCAGCGTCGGCATCGATGTCGGCTTCGGCGTCGTCGGCGGTGTGCACTGAGTCGTGCTCGGCGTCGTCGTCGTCGCCGCAGTCGACGTCGGCGGCGGCGTCGTGCTCGGCGTCAGTATTGGCGTCGGAGTCGACATCGGCATCGTCGTCTTCGCTGTCGTCGTCGGCGTCGGCTTCAGCATTGGCGTCGGCGTCGGCGTCGTCGTCGGCGTCGGCGTCGGCATCGTCGTCGTCGGCGTCGTCCCCGTCGTCGTTGATCTTCGTTGTCGGAGTCGATGCTGTCGTGTCGTCGTCGTCGTCGTCGTCGTCGTCGCCGCCGCCGCCGCCGCCGCAGTCGTCGTCGTCGTCGTCGTCGTCGTCGTCGTCGTCGTCGTCGTCGTCGTCGTCGTCGTCGTCGTCGTCGTCGTCGTCGTCGTCGTCGTCGTCGTCGTCGTCGTCGTCGTCGTCGTCGTCGTCGTCGTCGTCGTCGTCGTCGTCGTCGTCGTCGTCGTCGTCGTCGTCGTCGTCGTCGTCGTCGTCGTCGTCGTCGTCGTCGTCGTCGTCGTCGTCGTCGTCGTCGTCGTCGTCGTCGTCGTCGTCGTCGTCGTCGTCGTCGTCGTCGTCGTCGTCGTCGTCGTCGTCGTCGTCGTCGTCGTCGTCGTCGTCGTCGTCGTCGTCGTCGTCGTCGTCGTCGTCGTCGTCGTCGTCGTCGTCGTCGTCGTCGTCGTCGTCGTCGTCGTCGTCGTCGTCGTCGTCGTCGTCGTCGTCGTCGTCGTCGTCGTCGTCGTCGTCGTCGTCGTCATCGTCGTCGTCGCCTTCCCACCCCCCCCAGGTTCCGTCGGCGTTGGTGTCGATGCTGGCGCTGGCCGTCGTCTTCGGCATCGGCGTCGTTGTCGGCGTCGTACTCGGCGTCGTGCTCGGCGTCGTGCTCGGCGTCGTGCTCGGAGTCGTGCTCGGCGTCGTGCTCGGCGTCGTGCTCGGAGTCGTGCTCGGCGTCGTGCTCGCCGTCGGCGTCCTGGTCATCGTCGTCAACATCTGGGTCCGCGTCGGCGTCGTGCTCGGCGTCGGTGTCGGCGGCAGCGACCGCGTCGGCACCAGCGCCGGCGCCGGCGTCGGCGTCGTCGTCGTTGGTCTTCGTCGTGGTCGTCGGCGTCGGCATCGGAAGCGTCGGAAGTGTCGGAATCGGTCGGTCGTTGTCGTCGGTCGTCGTCGTCGTCGTCGTCGCCGTCGGCCTTTGGCGTCGGAAGCGTCGGAAGCGTCGGCGTCGGCATCGTCGTCGTGGTCGTCGTGGTCATCCTCGTCGTCGTTTGTCTTCGCTGTCGGCGTCGCTGCTGTCGTGTCATCGTCGCCGCCGTCGACGTCATCGTCGTCGTCGTCGTCGTCGTCGCCTCTCCACCCCGGGTTCCGTCGGCGTCGTTGTCGGTGTAGGCGCTGGGCGTCGTCGCCTTCGGCATCTGCGTCGGCGAAGGCGACGGCGCTGGCGTCGGCGTCGTTGTCGGCGTCGTGCTCGGCGTCGGCGTTGTTGTCGCCGCCGGCCTCGTCGGCGTCGTGCTCGGCTTTGTGCTCGGCGTCGGAATCATCGTCGAGGTCGTCGTCGGCGTCTTTGTCGGCGTCGGCGTCGTCGGCGCAAGCGTCGGCATAGTTGTCGGCGTCGGCGTCGTCGGCGTCGTACTCGGCGTCGTGCTCGGCATCGTGCTCGGCGTCGTGCCGGTCGTCGTCGTCGCCGTCGCCGGCGTGGGCGCCGGAGTCGTGTTCGGCGTCGTTGACGGCGTCAGCGTCGTCGTCATCGTCGTCGGCGTCGTGCTCGGCGTCGTCGACGTCGGCGTCGGCGTCGTGCTCGTGCTCGGCGTCGTGCTCGGCGTCGTGCTCTTCGACGGCGTCGACGTCGTCGTCGGCGTCGTCGGCGTCGTGCTCGGCATCGTGGTCGGCATCGTGCTCGCGTCGTCGTCGTCGTCGTCGTGGTCGTCGGCGTCGTCGTCGGCGTCGTTGTCGGCGTCGGTTTCGGTGTCGACGTCGGCGTCGTCGTCGGCGTCTTCGTCATCGGCGTCGGCATCGTTGTCGACGTCGTGCTCTGTGTCGTGCTCTGCGTCGTGCTTTGCGTCGTGCTCGGCGTCGTTGTCGGCGTCGTCGTCCGCGTCGGCACCGTCGGCGTCGGCGTCGGCGTCGTGCTCCGCGGCGGGGCGGGGAGCCCGAGCTGGCCATGCGGGCGCGGCATGCCGCGACACGGTGGGGGGGGGCGGGCCTGGCACGGCGCGCCGGAAGAGGCGCCTGCGCCGCGGCGAGAGGGAGCACATTGCGAGGACGGTGGGCGAGGCGGGGCGAGGAGTGCAGGCCTCCTTCTCCTTCTCCGGCCCCTTCTGCCCCTGCTCAGCCTCCTCGCCCTCCTCCCCCGCCTCCCTCCTCCCCCCCCTCCTCCCCCCCCCCTGCTCCGGAGCCCCTGCTCGTCATGCTCGTCCACCTTGGCACGTAGGAGGAGGACAGACGCCGAGGAGGACAGGAAGGCGAGGCGAGGCGAGGCGCCGGCGTGCGTCCCGACGGGGGGACGGCCCCGCGAGAGCGCGGCGTGCGGGCCGGGGCCCGGTCAGAGCTGGAGGTCGGTGTTGCGGTAAATAACACATGTCTCTTCCGATGCACCCCCAAGACAGGAGGATAGGGGGGCAAGGAAAGATGAGGGAAGAAGAGGGCGGACGGTGAGGGAAGCGGGACGAGGGAGAGCTCTCGGAGATTCTGAGGGCGTTCCGAAATCAGGGGTTCTTTTGGGGTGAGGGGAGGGGCGAGGAGAAGGAGAATGGACGCGAAGGAGCGAGGAGGGAAGAGAACGAGGGGTGACGGCGAGGGGGAAGTAGACGGAAAAGGGAAGCATGGGAAGGAAAGGGAGGAAGAACGGATCGAAAAGAAGGCTTTCCATCGACGACGGTGCTAACGCGTGCAATAGCGGTGCGGCGGAATGAGGATGGCAATCCTCCGACCACCGCTTGCTGGGGGTGAGGTGTGCGAGGTGCGTGACTGCTTCTACATGCTGTTTGAGGCGGAGGATGGGGGGGCCTGCCATCGCTCGGACGTCCATTCCCCGAGCTGTTTTTCGGTTTCGTGCGTGGCTTCTTCGTCGAATGATCAAGGATGCTCCTCGATGGTCCTCGCCGAAAGAAAAACGCACACGTCCGAGCGATGCCAAGGGGGACACCGGGACCCGAACGTAGCTCCCGGGCCCTGCGAAGGAGGGGGCAGCCCCGGAGAGGGACCGGAAGGACCCCCAGGCAGGGCCAAAAAAACGCCTCCGAGAGAGAGGCCCCAGCAGCGCTTCGGAGGAGGAGGAGGAGGAGGAGGAGGAGGAGGAGGAAAAGGAGGGGGAGGAGGAGGAGGAGGAGGAGGAGGAGGAGGAGGAGGAGGAGGAGGAGGCTCCCAGGCAGCCCCCAGGGGGCCCGCAGGGGGCCCGCAGAGGCAGCCCCGAGGGGGCCCTTGCTTCGGGGCCTGCTCGGGACTCGAGAGCGAGCCTGCACCGAGCACCCCTCTGAGGAGCTTCCTCCGGCAGGGCCCTCCGCAGATCCCGCAGGGTCGGCTCCCGTCGAGACGCTCCTCCAGGACAGGCGACGCCGGCGCAGGCCAGAAGCGGAAGGCTCCTGGCGCCAGTGAAGCACCCAAAAGAGCCACGGCCTAACCGCACCGATGTCCCAGAGGTCCCCACGGAGGGGAAAGTGTTCTGGGTGAAGTTCAAAGTACGTATGGTGTTTAGAAGCCCCAGCTTCCCGACCTGTGGGATGCTGGGGCATCTGTGGACCGAATTCTTTTGCTGAATTCGTTGGCTTCTTCTTGTCCGACCCCTTCGATGTTCGGGCAGACGGGCATCGAGGCCTCGGCCCTACCGAGCACGCGCGTGGCCCAGAAGTCTGTGGGTACTGCAAGGTCTGCGCGCTCGCTTCCGACCTCGGTGGCAGCGCAAGCACGGCTGGCCATTCGGGAAGCTCATGCTCTCCGGGGCCCTGAGCTGCACGATGAGGGTCGCACTCAATTTTGGTGCGGCCTGCGCTGGGACGATGACTTTGCGGCTTAGCATGGGCACCAATCACACGCGAATGCATGTTGGATGCGCCATGGATACTCACATCGGCGTTGCACAATCAGCTCGAGCGAAAGAACTGACGGCATCAAGTCCAACACTGTGTCCAACTTAACTCACTCATAATTCAAAGCAATGGATACGCTTCGCTAGGCAAAGCGCGTCACTGCAGACAACTTTGATTCGATCACTTCGGAGGACGATGTGCCGTTGGCTAACGTAGGAGGATGATGCGGTCACTCTCGACTGGCCGTAGTGGAGGCCGCACAAGTGCGGTGCCATCAAGATGGGGTCGCAAAGTAGCGCAACGTGGGTGATCCGTCGGCGACGTCGGCAGGGAGAAAATCGCGCTCCGGATCGAGCTGCATCGCCGATGCATCGGCGATGCCTTGCGATCCTTCAACATGTACGGTACGTTCGAATCGTCACGACGACCCCGGCGTTGGCTCCTGACACCACGTGAATCGTTCGGCCTTGAATGATGGGCGGCTTTTCAGTCGCCAGATCGTTACGTGTCGGCCGATGTTGAGCCGCTGGCGGCTTTCAACACTGAAAGCCCTCGGCGGGATCGCCGCCACGTCGAAACGACGCGAATCCGCCGCACTCGGACCCGAGCCCCATGCAGCCCGCACACTGTCCGCTCGAAGCTGACCCCCCCCGAACGCTGGTCCCTCGAGCTGCGCCCCGTCAGCGGCTGCGGGGGCCATGAAGGAAGTCCACGTGCGGCGTAAGCGCGGGTGGGGCCGAGCGAGACCCCAGGAGCCGCCTCGGAGAAACTTGCTTCTCACCCAGAGCATCAGAACCGCAACAAGAGCAAACCTTGTGCGGGGGTCCGTACAGCTTGTTGTTGGGGCCGGTGCTGGACCCCAATCCCCTGGCGCCGAGGCGCCGCCAGGGGGTATGCGGCGCCGACCCCATGAAGTCCGCGCGTACCTCCGAAGAGTCGTGGCTACGCATGCGCAACTGATCGAAGGATTGCAAAAAAACGAAGGATTGCAAAAACGAAGGATTGCAACAAAAACCCAGGATTGCAAAAAAAACAGGATTGCAAAAAAAAACCAGGGTTGTTTTGCAATCCTTCGTTTTTTTGCAATCCTTCTGATTTTTTTGCAATCCTTCGCTTGTTCCGCTGACAACATGCAGCCTCTCCCGACGCTCGCGCGCGCCCGGGCCCGCGCCTGGGCTGCCGACCCCGACCTCCTCCCAGCCGTCCTGGCGGGAGCCGACCGCCCCGACCTTCTCCCACGCCTCCTGGCGGCGCCCCAGGGACGACGACAAATGACGAATGGCGAGGGCGAACGGCGACGAAGGATAAAGGACGAGGACGAACGACGGCGAACAGCGCCGACGACGGTGAGGAGCACGACCCAGACGGACGACGACGACGAAGACGACGAAGGATGACAACGAGCGACGACAACGACGCCGAAGACGAGGAACGACGACGAGGAGAGCGACGACGAGCACGAGGGCGTGTCGGGCGAGCGGGGCATGGAAGCGGATGCGGGCGGGCGGGCGGGCGGGACCTGAATGGGCGGGGAGTAGGAGGAGGAGGAGGAGGAGGAGGAGGAGGACGAGGAGGTGGAGGAGGAGGAGGGAGGAGGAGGAGGGAGGAGGAGGATGCTGAGGAGGGCGGCCAATCTTGCAGGCGGGCGAGAGGGAGGACCCGGGCGGGGCGGGCGTCTGGGCCCCTGACAGGGCGGGCGTCAGGCGGGTCGGGCGGGCGGAAACTGAGGGCGGAGGTGAGGTCGAGCATGTCCCCCTACAGGTGGATTTTGGACGAAGAATTAAGAATTCCCCCAAAAGTGCAAAAATGACAAACCAAAAAAATACAGAAAAAAAGTCCCCAGAGTATCTTTGGTTCCGATTTTTGAATCTTCCTCCTGTAGAGGGAGAGGCCCGACTTCAGGCTAAGGGAGGAGGGGGAGGCGGTCACTAGCGGAGGGGTCGGGCGGAGCCAGGAGTGGCACGCCAGTTTCCGGGACCAGGGGTGGGAGGGAGGGGGAAGCCCCGGAGGGGGAGCCCTGGGTTTCGGAGCCCGTCACGCCGGAAGCAGGACGCGCTGGAGCGGAGGAGATCGGCACCATCACCACAACCACGATCGGCGAGGCGCCAGGCAGGGTCCTCCTGGTAGTGCGGTCCCCCTGTTTTGCAGCGTCGCGCTCGAGATATCTCAAAAATCCAGCTCGGGGAAGCATCGTGAGGAGGCCCGCTGCTGCTGGTGCCACGTCAACTCAGCAACTCTCCAAGTGTGGCTGGCTCTCGGGGAGCGAGAGGACTGGTCTGGAATTCGAGCTGAGAATGCTACTGGCACCTGGGTGGTGAGATCAACGTTCCGTCCCCTGCGTTCAACTCGAGAAAAAACATTAGGAAACAGGATACTGAACGCAATCATATTCTCACGTCCTCGGGTGCCCTAGGCCCGTCGACAAACTACTTAGGATGAGGAACTGGTCCTGGGGGAAGACCCGGGGTCCAGGAGCCGTTCCCCTCACCTATATGCCGCGGCTCCCACTGGTTACCAGCCTCGATCGTATCCCTATCCCTATAATGGACACGGCAAAAGGCGATCACAATCTTAGGGATTCGCCCTCAAAAAAAAGGGGAATCCCTAAGATTGGCATCGTGATGAGGAGGTGCCCAGCATAGGGATAGGGATATGTTCCAGGCTGGTAAACTGGAGCCACACTTGGGAGTGTCTGCGGAGGGCGGCAACGCTCAAGCCAGAGATGAGGAGGAGGCGAAGGGAGGGATGAAGAGATTGACAGGGGAGAAAAGGGGAAGCGGGGAGTGAGTGCAAGGAGTTGGGCGAGTAGAGAAAAGGTGAACCCATACATGACATGCTTTGACAAAGTGTCCCTCCTCCTCCCCGGGCTGGTCATTCGTCCTGAACTGTTTTTCCCAACCATCCTGTGGTGTTGGGTCCTCGTTTTGAAGAGACGGTGCCCCGCGTTCCTCTCCTCCTTCCTCCTCCCCCTCCTCCCTCCTCCCCCTCCTCTTCTCTCTTCCGTCAGAATGATCATCTGCAGCATCATCCTCATCCACATCCTCATCCTCATCATCGTCTTCATCATCGTCCCCACCGCCCATGTCGTCACACCCCTCACACGTTTCGTGGCCCCATAGGGAGCTCCACCGAAGGTCCCACTGGGGGCGTTCGCATGCGTCTCCCCCACCCAGGACAGCGTTTCGTGGCCCCATAGGGAGCTCCACTGAAGGTCCCAACAGGGGTGTTCGCATGCGTCTCCCCCACGCAGGACAGCGTTTCGTGGCCCCATACATAGGGAGCTCCACCGAAGGTCCCAGTAGGGGTGTTCGCATGCGTCTCCCCCACCCAGGACAGCGTTTCGTGGCCCCATAGGGAGCTCCACCGAAGGTCCCACTGGGGGTGTTCGCATGCGTCTCCCCCACCCAGGACAGCGTTTCGTGGCCCCATAGGGAGCTCCACCGAAGGCCCAAGTGGGGGTGTTCGCATGCGTCTCCCCCACCCAGGACACTGTTTCGTGGCCCCGTAGGGAGCTCCACCGAAGGTCCCAATAGGGGTGTTCGCATGCGTCTCCCCCACCCAGGACAGCGTTTCGTGGCCCCATAGGGAGCTCCACCGAAGGCCCAAGTGGGGGTGTTCGCATGCGTCTCCCCCACCCAGGACACTGTTTCGTGGCCCCGTAGGGAGCTCCACCGAAGGTCCCAATAGGGGTGTTCGCATGCGTCTCCCCCACGCAGGACAGCGTTTCGTGGCCCCATAGGGAGCTCCACCGAAGGTCCCAGTAGGGGTGTTCGCATGCGTCTCCCCCACCCAGGACAGCGCTTCGTGGCCCCATCGGGAGCTCCACCGAAGGTCCCAATAAGGGTGTTCGCATGCGTCTCCCCCACCCAGGACAGCGTTTCGTGGCCCCATAGGGAGCTCCACCGAAGGCCCAAGTGGGGGTGTTCGCATGCGTCTCCCCCACCCAGGACAGCGTTTCGTGGCCCCATAGGGAGCTCCACCTAAGGTCCCAGTAGGGGTGTTCGCATGCGTCTCCCCCACCCAGGACAACGCTTCGTGGCCCCATGGGGAGCTCCACCGAAGGTCCCACTGGGGGTGTCATTTCGGCACACCCCTCACACGTTTCGTGGCTCCATAGGGAGCTCCACCGAAGGCCCCAGTGCCCGCCCGCATGCGTCCCCACACCCATTTCGGCACACCCCTCACACGTTTCGTGCTCCATAGGAGCTCCACCGAAGGCCCCAGTGCCCGCGCCCGCATGCGTCCCCACACCCATTTCGGCACACCCCTCACACTTTCGTGGCTCCATAGGGAGCTCCACCGAAGGCCCCAGTGCCCGCGGCCGCATGCGTCCCCCACACCCATTTCGGCACACCCCTCACACGTTTCGTGGCTCCATAGGGAGCTCCACCGAAGGCCCCAGTGCCCGCGGCCGCATGCGTCACCCACACCCATTTCGGCACACCCCTCACACGTTTCGTGGCTCCATAGGGAGCTCCACCGAAGGCCTCAGTGCCGCCGCCCGCATGCGTCACCCCCACCCATTTCGGCACCCCCCCGCATTTCTCGCACGGCAGGGTCATCACCACGGTGGCGTGCCAGGGGCGCACCGTGCGCGAAGGCGACGGGGCGGGGGAACGGCGCTCCGGGGGCGGCCAGACCTCCGGGGCGCGAGCAGTCCGCGGCCAGACCATCTCTCGGTCCTGTGGACTCTCGCCCTGGGCCGTCGGCTGCCCGGCGCGCTGCTCCCTCGGTCGACGTCGCCCAGGCGTGATCCTGGATTGCGGCCGCCACGAGGTAGGGAACGGCAAGAAGGAGGACGACGACTGGTGGCTGGAGCTCTACGTGCTGCTCTCGCGCGCCACGCGCCACGAGGACCTCCTGCTCATGCGGGCGCCGCGCATCGAGTTCTTCCTGGCAGGGCCGCCGCAGGGCTTGCGGAAGCAGCTGGAGCAGTTTGCGGCGCGCACGAAGCGGTGCAGGAGGGAAGCGACGGCCCTCGCCAGGGAGCTCGGCTTCACCGAGTTCATCCGCGAGGCCTGACCTGAGGAGCGTCTCCCCCGAGCCGCGCCTTCTCTCGACTGCCCGACTAATTGTTTGGCCTCGCGCCGCGGACGACCCGCGCGCGTCGCTGGGACCCTCTCGGGGCGACCAGCGCGCGTCGCGGGAACTCCGTGCTGCGGGGGGCCCGGCGCCTCGTTCGCCCGTCGTCGCTCTGCCCAGCGGTCAGAGACTGGCCCGCTATCAGCCAGCCAGTTAGCTAGTCAGCTCTCTCTGCTTCGCGCAGCGGACGACCCGCGCGCGTCGCTGGGACCCCGCCCGGGGCGACCAGCGCGCGTCGCGGGGACTCCGCGCTGCGCTGCGCCCGCAGCCTTGGATTTTGGAGTGCGCGGGCAAAGAGGAAGGAAAAGAAGAGCCGAAAGCGGGCGCGATCCTCGCAAGAGGCGTGCCGACATGGGCGTCGCGACGTGCGGACGCTGCCGTCGGGGTTCCCGCGGAAGCTGCCTGCGGCGGCCACGCCCAGTGTCACGTGTGTTCGGACAGGCATGCTCGACACTTACACTAGGCGGTTCCATGATCGCATTCATGCAAATATATTCACTCGCGCGCAGACCCATTCATACTCAGATTCCCTCGCGCTCTGACTCACCCGCGTTCTTTCTCTCGTAATCAGATCAATCGTAATCCTTTGCGTTGTGTACCCCGCCACATTTCGGCACACCCCTCATGCCGTTCGTGGCCCCATAGGGAGCGCCACCGAAGAAGATACTCCCAATTGCGATAATCACAACTGCATATGGTTGGGTCCTTCGCCAGGATATTTTTTCTATGGCCACCAGGTGCCGAGTTCCTGGCCCAAAAAAACATACGAATCTACGTTTGTCCACGGCGCTGGAAAAAAGGTCTGATAGGAGGGAAAAGGACCGACGAGGGCGCCGCATGGATGGATTCAGGAAGGCATGCGTCGGATGAGTACAAACTCTCGCAAGGTCGTGCAGACTTCTTGGGTCGGCACTGCGCACCGCTGCCCTGGCGCGCAGAAGGGGCCAGGGGTGGTCCAGCGCCGACCCACGAGATCCGCGCGGACCTCACAAAGCACATGGTCTATTTTGCCTTGTGTCTGGTTCTCGAGATGGAGGAACACAGATCGATGGAAAGATGGGGGGGCCGAAACCCGCCTACCAAACTAGAGAGGACGGGTACGGGAAGCGAAACACGACACCACCACCATCGGCGAAGAACCCAGGCAGGGTCCGCCTGGTTG